TATATATACTATATATATATACATATATATATATATATAACCGCGAGAATATTGTGTGCGTAAGCCCCAAGTTGCTTTTCCACGATCAGAGACGAGCAGCCACCGCAGAACAAGAGTACTATGCCCCTCTGATGTAGATCTCAGTACAGTGTGCATGGGATAGTACGTGTTTTGCTTGTGCTGAATAATTGGTGCCGCTCTTAGAGCAATGATAATGAGTATTCCGTCGAAGTCGTCGCAGAGTCGTTCCATAATAATTATGAACCGAACTTGACGACATCAGTCAACAATCATTGCCAGATGTATATATATATATAACTTTTACAAAAATAGATTTATAGTAGTTGCAAAACTATTTTTATATATATGAAATGACATGGCCTTCTGTTTCAATTTAGAAGAAGGCTATGGAAATAATCGTATCTTAGTTAATTTTTCCATTTTTTCGGAACACTGTAAAGTGTGGTGTAGCAGGTGCAGGTTTACCTTGCCGCTTCCACAGGTCGATGTCCTTTATACGTTAACCGCATTGATCTTATGCCCAAGGACTGTCACCAATACATGGCATTTCTGGTCAGCAGTACTGCCAGATAATAGCTCTATTATTTTTCGGTAGCCGCGTACGATATGACTCAGATCAAGAGACCTAAGAACACCATATAAAACATTGGATACTTGTGTTCGTCTATTGCATTTTCGTCCTTTCTGGCCAATATTTAAGATGTGGTAATAGACCATGTTTGCTCCTTGAACTCGCCTTTGGAGTCTGTACTACGTACAAACATAAAAATTGTACGGACAAGATGATTCGTTGTCACCTGTATTGGTACGTGTATGGATTCTTGCTCAACCCTTTGCGCAGCTCAGAATATGTTACCATATCATATCGGCTTTTGCCAGATCCTCACCTTCAGCAAAACAGACAATGGCAATAGCAGTAGGTCCGTTTCGTCCAAGAAAATGATGTGGCTGTATACGCCTACCTATGAAGTACTTCTAAACACTTGTAATTTCTACACCCAGGTGTATATGATCTGCTCCCTACTTCTTGGACTTCGCTATCGTATTTCCGAGACTACTCTCCAAATCATCGCCCGTGGCCTCGAGTGCTACCAACAGATGATGCGCTCGGTCAGTAACGCACTTGGGCATGCCGGAAATACGCGCCACATCGATACCGTGTGACCTTTTAGCCACTCCAGGCTCTAAGTTGTAACCATAGACGATATCCCCTCCATCTGCACAAGTCGCATGGTGAGGGTGGATTAATGTTAGCGCGCTTGGTATGGAAATGACACATGTTCAGAGTGAAAATAGGGCTATTGAGAGTGGAATCAATGAATAGTAGGAGCCCAATAGGGAGTCGGCTGGTGATAATAGAGAGAAATAGGTCTTTCATTGGTGAATATTAAGTAATCGGTGGGAATCTTAGCCAGAGACGAATGTGAATCTGGCGTCTTGAAGAGCGGGTCCGAGACTACGCATGTAAAATTAAAATGAGACTCACACTGTCATGAAAGCCAAGCAAGTGGACAATTGGACACCATTCCGCCCTCATTAACTTCATTTAGTTCTGCGACCGTGATATAATGTGGTTTTTGTGATTTTTGCACATTCCATGCAAGGTTGATATATGCACACACAAAAAACACGCGCATTGATTTAATTCCCATATTTTGAGACCAAGCAATGGGAAGTAGCATGACGCAGGCGTTCCAGCACCCTTGCCACTGCAATAAAGTATATCGCTGCCATGTACAGATCAATTCTATCTCACAAACACACTTTATATGGACTGCACCTGCTTATAAACAAGTACACAGGTATATATATATATACCTATATATATATATA